AAAAGGGGCTGGGGATTTAGCTCAGCGGCAAAGCGCCTGCCTGGCAAGCGCAAGGTCGTGAGTTCAGTTCCCGGCACCGGAGAAAAACCAAAAAATAAAAAAAAAAAAAAAAAAAAAAAGAACGCAATCCCATGTGCTTTCAGCTGAACACAATACATGCAGAGTTTCAAGGATGTAACAGGAGCTGTTATTACCAAAGAACAATATTATAATTTAAAAATATACTTATGAGTTAATGTTAATTCACTCTTACACTAATATAATCTGGTAACTGAAATGTATATGTTACATGAGCACACAATGGAAGGAGAAGCCATTCTGGCCAATTGGATCAGAAGAACAAATCCTGGAGATCTTATGTGGTGACCAAATAGTTCTTACATCCGTAAGAAAACATGATATACAGACCTGCTAATACTTCTTATTTCCGCATCCCATGCTCTGTGAGTAAGAGACCCTGCTGAGAGGTTGTGGCTGCAGCTTCTGTGAGCTAGAACTGTGCGGACCTCCCGTTCTGCTTCCTTTCCTGCTTCCCTACCTTCCTGGTCATGCTTCCCTCCCCCCTTCCACAGACTTAATCTCTGACAACCAATGCAATACGTGTTGGAGGCTGAAAATTTGGAAAATACACAAAGAAAACCATAAGGATTACTTATAATCCTCTGTCCACTCTCAGAAGTAATGACAGTCTTCCCTCTTTTCTAAGCATTTCCCCACTAACTCTATCATACTATACCTAGTTTTAAAAACTTATTGTTTGGGACCTAAGGAAAAATTTCCAGGGGTACTAAAGATTGTTCCACCGCATGGTTATGAAATGCTGTGCAGTATTCTGTTCCAAGAATGTATCATAAATAATTAACCATTCCTGTCTTAATGGGTTTTTAGGTTGTTTTCAGTTTTTCCCTTTTGTAAATAACTGTGTGATGAGCATTCTCACATCAAATGCTTATGCACATCCTTATCTGTTTCCTTAAGAGTCTTTTCTGGAAGGGAAATTGCTTTGTTTGCAATTTGTAAATCGCAAATTTTTGCATATTTGTAAATAGTTTGATATTTATTGCTAAACTGTCCTTGTGAAAGTTGTTAGCAACGGAGAAGAGAGTCAGTTTACCCACATGTGTGACCACTGCAGATGTTTTTTTTTCTAATTTCTGACAGCTTGAAGGAAGGCAGATGATATCTAGCTGTGGTTATAACTTGCACTGTTCTGACAACTACAGGGAGAGCTCCGCTTCTGATGTTGTCCTGTGCTAGGTTAGTTTGCTTCTACAGCTGCTTTCCATTAATCAGCAGCCGGGTGACAAGCTTCAGGGAGACACCCCTCTCCCCTGAAGCCGTATTACAGACAGTGACAACCTGCTAAGACTTCATTTGCTTCTTATTTCCAGCATCTGGTACAAGTCATTTTACGTGTATCTTCTTTAATCCCCATTCCAACTCCTTCCACGAGGTGGGTACAGTTATTAACTTCATTTCCTGTGTGAGCAACAGGAAGTTTACAGAATGAAATTAACTTGTCTAAAGCCCAGAAATGGCTGAGCCAGCCCGGAACCAGGCTGGCTCTAGAGCCGATCCTCTTAATCACTTCATCAATTGTCTGTAGCTAGAAGTACATATTCACAGAGGTCGCATCCTACTTAATTTCAGGCAGCCCTTGGTCAGCTGGGAGCTCCAGCTCACACTGGGCATGTCTACTTGGGGTATGTTTCAAAAATCACTAGAAAGTTGAAGGGTTTGATTGGGGATGTAGCTCTGTGCTAGAGTGTTTGTGTAGCATGAGCAAGATCCTAAATTCAATACCCAGCACTGAAAAAAAAAAAATAAACAACCTGAAATAAGTAACAGTAAATGTTGAGATGGGTTTGAGGATTGTGGATAACTCTGGGGTATCCTGCACCTTCCCTACTTAGCTTCAGTCATAACTGGTTAAGCAGAGTGCTTGCATTTACTTAACTCTTTCTCATTTTCTCTTGTTCCATTTCTGAGTAGCTAGTAACGTGTAGGAAAGTGGGTAGGTCAGAGGCTAAAAAAGGAAACATTTCCTAATGTCCTCCTAACCACAGCCTCTTGTCATTTGCCATGGGATTGGAGAGGTGTGTTGTATGCATCGTGACTAAAAAGCAAAAGCATCCCCAAAGCAGCACACTTTTTACCATGAGAAGAGCAGATTTGGGGGTTTGAAACACGAATGCAGTCAATGGGTAAGTTCAACTTTGGTTCACCATCCTCCCTTTGATACCTCCTCTAAGTCTCATCTTTGCCCAATCCATGATCTTCTGGGATCAGGCTTGCTGACTTCTTCACAAACCTCCTCTTTGGAAAGGATGTGAAACCTTGGAGAGAATTTGTGAGACTTATCTCTCCCGAGAGTGTTTCTATCTTAAGCTTAATCCTCAAGGTGATACAGTGGCACGAGAGACTCTGGTTCCTGCTTCAGACAGTAGTCAGTAGGTGGGGACAGTTTTTAGGGTCCTGCACGGTCAGTGCGCACAGTCACCTACACCTCCGTCTTTGAGTTTAGTGACAATAACAACACCTATTCATGTATTGAGCATTTACTGGCCAGTATCTGTGGCCAGTGCTTTGCATGCATCTTTTCCTTAAACCCTCCCACTCACCTGTGAAGAAGCCACCCGCTCCACTCCTTACAGAAGAAGAACCTGAGGGGCGGGGATGTTACACAACTTTCCTAAGGATGCTGAGCTAGTAAATGGGCAGAACTAAGCTTTGAACCCAGCTCTTCTCATAAACCCAGAATCTGGTTTTAGCCCCTTCAGGATGAAACGGAGGGATCTCAGTGTCTTGGTTTGTTATGTGGCAACTTGCAAAGCTGTCAGGGAAGAGCTTCAGGCCACATGGTGTGTAAAGCCTGGCCCAGACCCTAAATGCAAAACGAAGCTGGCACTTGTTGCTAAGCATTAGTTCTGGGTATAATCCTTGCTCACTCTTCCAAACTCCTCCTTCCCTTCTCATCTCATTCCCGCTGTACCCATATCCACAGCATTTATAGACCTAACCTGAAGGCCAGATTCTGTGTGCAGACACTCACCTTCCACCCTTGTGGTCACCCTGCAAGGAGGCACAGTGTCACAGCATTCAGCGAAGTTCAGTCGGTGCTGCCAGGGAGCCAGTGGGAGCTGGGGTTGGAAGCTGCGGGACTCAAGGTTAAACCCTGAAATCAAGCTCACCGGCCGCTGCTGGGGTCTGTCCTAGGTGAGATGCAGATGGCAAGTTCTTCTGGCTCCTGGCTGTCCAACTGCCTGCTCTCTCTGATCTTCCTCGAGCTGCCCACGCACCTGTCAGGTAGGAGCCTCAGCGCCTCTCTCCCGAGGGAAGTGTGACCCGAGATTTAATTTCTTTTTGGGTTCTGCCCTCACCCCTGAGTTCCAGCGCCCTTCCCAGGTTCTGTTCTTCCCCATGATACCCTCTTCCTTGTCCCTCCCCACGCTCTTTCTCCCTCAGCTCCCTCCCAGCTCTCAGTCTTTCTTCTGTCCATGCATAGGGGATGCCGGCAAGTTCCACCTGGTCTCGCTGGGGGCCACGGCCCAGCTGCTGTGCCCGCTGTCCCTCTGGCCGATGACCGTGCCGGAGGAGGTAAGGTGGCTGCGGCCCTCACGTCAGCAGGGCTCCCGGGTCGTGCACATGTTCCTGGGTGGGAAGGACAGAGATGAAGATGTGGTGCCGGAATATAAGGGCAGGACGGCGCTCGTGACCGATGTCCAAGAGGGAAAAGTCTCTCTGCTGATCCACAACGTGAGCCTTGAGGACCAAGGACCTTACCAGTGTCAGATCCAGGTCGCAAACCTGACGCAAGAAGGCACGGTGACCCTGCGGGTTGCAGGTTAGAAAGGGTTTGAGATGCTCGGGGTCATCTGTGGGGATTGGGTGGGCTTTGTGAGGACCTGCTTTGTCCCTCCATGAGTAGACTTTTCCTTCTTCAGCAAGCAGTTTTTATTTGCACGGATGGTCCAGCCTTACCCACCTGGGTGCATTGATCACACGGGAAACTGCAACTCTGGCCTGTCATGAGGAAGAAATTGGGGCTGTGGAAAACACTGCGCAGTGCAGGTCCTGGTTAAATATAGCCAGTGGCCTGTCCAGCCTGTTGACTCAGACAGTAGTTTTTCCTTCTTGGGTCACATTTCTTTGTTTCATCATCAAGAAATCCCTCACTGTGGCTCTAAGGAAAACTCCTCACTTGTCACAATAACCAGCTATGACAGGCTTTACTTAAGGAGTCCTCTCCTGGGCTTCCCAAGTACTTAAAGGGCCCACAAGGTGGAGATGGTGCCTCTCAAATGGGTGTCAGTATTAAAAAAAAATCAGCCCACTAAAATCCAACCCAACCCGACTCAACCCAACTCTTTGAATTTGCTGGGGTGATACCAGCCCCACGCAGTTACGCACTGATTATCTTTTGGTCATAACTTTGTCATATTCCCCAAAGAGGGTGTATGACCGCTTTACATCAACCTCTTTAAAACACACTGTAGCTAGTATAAAGATGCTTTCCAAACATGGAAAATGACTTTAGGTTGCAAAGTAATTTCTAAATGGGGATTGAAGTGCTCAGAAGAATTTGGAATCAGGAGATGCAGCTACTGCCATGAGTGGATTCTGAAATGTACTTGGATAAAGCTAGAGACCGTCTTATCGCACTGGGAGAAGGATGGCAGGGTGGTAGGGAGAGGTGGAGGTTAAGTTTCTTTGATGGTTGCCTCTGTTCGTCAGAGGAGGCTTGTGTAGGGGAGTCCTTTGCACCCAGGGCTCTGACTAGAACCACACACGTGGGGAGGCCCTGCCAGTCTGGTTCTGGGCTGGTTCAGCCAGGCAGTCTGTCCTCTCCAGCCCAGGGCTCTGATCTTTAGTTCTTTTTTTTTTTTTTTTTTTTTTTTTTTTTTTGGTACTGGGAATTGAACTCAGGACCTTGCCCTTGCCAAGCAAGGCGCTGTTCCACTGAGCTATATCCCTGGCCCTCAGATCTTTAGTTCTGGTGCTGAATGGGCCCCTGCCGTGCAGATCAGTGGGATGGTTTTGAAAGCTTTGGACAAGTGGAGAAACCCTGAAGGCAGAGGACTTCCATCCCTGTCGGAGGCCCACTCCCTGGACAGACTGGGCTCTTCTGAACAGCAGTATACAGCAGAGTCAGGGACAGTGCTCTGAGGTAGGAAGTTTTTTCTTAGTGGTTGTCTAGGGATTGAACCCAGGACCTTGCACATTCTAGGCAAGTGCTGTACCACTGAACTACAGCCCCACCTGCTGGGGATGTGTTCTGTATGGTCTGCAACACAGTCTTCAGCCAAGAGAAGAGCACAGGCCTGCTCATAGCGGGTGGTGGGGTAGAAAACAGGTTTGAAGCACCTGATAGTTCTTTTTTTTTTTTTTAAATATAATATATATTTAATATGAAAAGCTACAGCACAAGTGCTTTCTCCCACCCCTAAATTCTGTTTTTGGCACTCACATATATGGAATGCATTCTTATCTACCCTTTTGACAAAGTTGGGAGAGCTCAGGAAATATAAAGTCAAAAATATACAAATCTTTGTTGTTATTATAATAAGATTTTTTTCCATGAATGAAATTGCACCTGATAGTTCTAGAGGAAGCTCCTACCCTTGTAGAAACTTTAAAATTTTTATTTATTTTTATTTATTAATTAATTTTTTTTGGTTTTTCTCCGGTACTGGGAACTGAACTCATGACCTTGTGCTTGCCAGGCAGGCGCTTTGCCGCTGAGCTAAATCCCCAGCCCCGAAACTTTAAAATTTTTAATTCTAAGGATAAACATGTGCATTGTAGAAAATGAAAATATGTAAAACATTTTAAAGAAATAAAAAAATGACCTTTAGTGTCATAAATGATAAAGAACTACTGATAGTATTTTGATGTGTTTCTTTTAGACTTTCCCTCATGCTTGTATCTCCAAGTAGTGTGGATAGTTGTGTGTGCATTTTTGGCCTGGGCTTTTCCCCCCACTGCCCATGTCATGAGCAATTTTTGCCCATGTCCTTAAGTAATTTTTTGTAACATGATTTTAGATGCTGCATAGGATTTCATTGTGTGGCTACAAAGTAATAAAAAAGTAATCAGTCTGTTTTGGGGCATCTAGGTTTAAAAAAAATTCCTTCATATCATAACTAATAGTACAGTGAAGATCTGTGCACATATTGGGAAAGTGATTCTGATTATTAGAATGTGTTTCAGGAAGTAGAATCAATGTGTTAAAGGGCATGAGCCTCTTAAAGACCTGTGAAACATCAAGTCATATGGCAGGGAATCATGGTTTCAGAGCCAAGAAAGATATACAGTGCCTGGGGATTTGGGGTGAAGAAGGGCCAGATATCTGTTAATCCCCTTTTTTCCTCCCTCTGTGCCCATCCCTCTTCTTTTACTACTGCCACTGCCCCGCCCTAGGTGCTAAGTGGTTAATCTGACTGATCTCTTCAAATCTCCCTCAAGCCCTAGGAGACAGCACCCCTTATCCCCATTTGACAGATGAGGCAAAGCAGGCTGGGAGAGGCTGAGTCTTTTGTGTAGGATCACACAGTGTTTGAACAAAGACATACCACTTGTCAAAGCCCTCTTCTCTTTTTTTTTTTCCTTCTCTTTTTCTTTTCTCCTCCTGACTAGGCTTTAGGGGCATCTACTGCGGTGGCATCCAAAGCGTGTTTTGCCCCTGCTAATGGTACTCAGGGAAAAGAGGCCGCTGACTGCTGTTCCAAGCAGGCAAGGATTTGAAGGGGAGGCAGACAGGTGTGCATGAGGCGGCTGTGGGTGATTACTAAGCAAAACACATGGGGCTGGGGATTTAGCTCAGCAGCAAAGTGCCTGCCTGGCAAGCCCAAGATTGTGAGTTCGATTCCTGGTACTAGAAGAAAAACGAAAAAAACGAAAAACAACAACAACAACAAAACTAAGCAAAACACCTGAGGGTCTCTGAAGCCCCTACATTATTTTTTCTACTGAGTTTAAGACTGAACAAGATTGTGGTTGAGAACTGACTTTAAAACATCCTCAGCCAGGACCAGCAAAACCCTTCCTAAGAAATGAACATCTCACTGGTCTTTAATGCTCTCTGGGGTTTCATTTCCTATGAGAAGCAGAGAGTCTCTCGGTTGGGATCTCTCCCTGGAGGCGATGGAGGCAGCTGGGACGTGCCTGGGCCATCTGCCATCTGAGTCATGGGAGCAGCTCTTAGATGTCTCCCTGAGGGTGCTCGCTGGTGGTCTGTTTCAGTCCCATCTTCGGAAAGAATCTCCTCCTCAACAGTGGCTCTGGCTGTGCTCCTACTTGTCCTGGGGCTGCTCATCATAGCAGGCATTTATGTCATCTGGAAGCAAAGGAGATCAAAAGGTAAGTAGGTGCTTCGGTGGTCTAGGCTGTAGGACTATGGCTACTCTGGGAAAACACCAAAAGGAGGTAGAAATAGGTACGATGCCTGTCCATAGGTTAGAGACTGTCCAAATGGACTGGGAGAAGACTGGTAGAGCGTGCCCTGGAGATGTACATTGCAGAAGGAATGCAACAAACTGCAGAAAGGCAGATTTATAAACGCTCATCCCCTGAGAATTTAGACAGTAATTGACCATGCTAGCCGTCTAATTAATTAAGAAATTAAAGCCTTCTAACCAAGAAATCCAATTATATTCATTGGATTAAACCCTCATAAAAAATGGTCACATTTCACAAGATCCCATGGTTGCAAAGGTCTTGAAAGGTTACACAAGCCGATACTTCTCTCCCCACTCTATCTGATGGCTTGAAGACCCTGTAATCTTTTCAAAAGGTCGCACACCCATAATGACCAGCAGTCAGTCCCACTCAAGCAGCTTGTCGTCTTTGGACAGCTGTGCTTGTTAGGGAAAAAAAAAACAAAAACCTTTTTAAATTCCAAATTACTTCTTTCTGTCTCTCCCTTCTAGAGAAGCTTCTGTATGAACAGGCGTTGCAGGTAGGTAAGTGTCCTATGGTGGGGTGGGGGAGGTATTTCTGTTATGTTGATTTCTGTATCCCCAGGCCCAGTAATTAAATTCTGTACCTGAAGTTTCATCATCCACTGTTCTTGGTGATGGTGATGGTATGTAAATCCATTGCTTCTAGTTTTTGCTAGCTCTTAGCTTGTAATAGATTACTTTCCAGTGTATTTGGTGATTTTTGTCTGTGATATTGCTCAATCTTCTTGTGTAGGAGTTATGCAGGGCAAACTTGGGGAAGCCTTTATTCATTCAATAAGTAATTGATAATTACCTACTAAGTGCCCTTGATCATACTAGATTCTGGAGATCCAATGGTGAGTAAAAGCAGACACAGTTCTGGCCTTTTAAGGCTTCCCATCTAGCCAGGGAGATTACATACAATAAATAATTACTCAAATAGATGGCATGTACAAATGCCATGAAGGAAAGTTCACAATTCTATGACACCTGTGACCAGGAGAACAAACCAGACCTGTGGGCTCAGGTTGGGAGGTCATGAGTCAGGAGAGAGTAGAAAACCCTCCAGAGCAGAAATAACAGCCTGAGAAAGAAGCACAGTCAGGAAGGGCAAAGTTTACATGAGGAGCTATAAAGGTGCAGAAACGAGGGGGAAGGCGGCGGAGCTGAGTTACGGGGCATCTTTTAAATCATGCTAAAAATTTCAGGCTTTCTCCTAAGCACAGTGGTAGAGCAGTGATGGGAATATCTGGTTCAGAACTGTGCTTTGAAAATCTCTTTCTGGCTGCAATGTTAAGAAGAGACAAGATGTAGGTTGCTGTTCGCGTTATCCAGATGAGACACCATGAGGGACTGGATGAGGGAGATGGAAGTGAAGATGGACAGACTGAAGAGCAGGTAGAACCAGCAGGAATCAGGGGTCCTCAAGGTAATGGCAAAAAGTTTTATTTTCTTTTCCTTTCCTTCCTCTAGAAAATCTTCTTGAAGATCATGCAAAAGAAAAAGGTAAGGATACATAAAGAGCAAGGGTAGGAAACAAGCAATGTATTATTTTTCCTTATATATAATTACTGACACTCTATTCATAATATTGGAACTCAGCTTCCAACATCAAGGGGCTATAGAGTTAGTAACAGTGGGTGAGGAGATGCCCCTGATCAAAATGCATAGTTCTGGTCCTCAGGAGCTCCTTGCATCAGCCTTTCTACCACTCACTAAAAAGGGAGTCTGTGTATTGTTGAAACATATATTAATATGGCCTTATGGAATGTAGGAAATCTCAAGAATCCACAGTGCCCTGGAGAGAGGTGCTGTGATGCAAGGGGAAGGTCACAGTTGGTGACACCTGACTCAGATCAATGGTCTGCTGCTTGTTGGCCTTGGATAAGTTGCTTTACTGCTCTGAGCTTTGTTTTCCTCATCTGTAAAATGGGAATGCTAACTACTCTTACATGTTATCAGTATTAAAAGAGGAAACTTTCTAAAACAAGATCTCTCATGGTGCCTAAAACTCCATTTCCTAATTGCCGTCTCACCTTCATTAATTGAGTAAGTGCTGTGGGCCACTGAGGATAAAAATTAGACTGCCTATTCAGGTCTAGCTAGGAAGGCAGGTCGCTGGCTCAGATGACCCCAGATGATAGTGAGCTCTCCTCTCCTCTCCTTTATATTTCCTCCACGCTGGTGAAAGTGTGAGGGGCACACCATGGACACTGGCATCCTGCCGCAGCGTGGATGGGAACTTGGGTCTGTGTCCTGCCTCTTCCCCTACTTGCTAACTGGATGAACTTGAGCAAATTTCATGGCCCTCTGAGCCTTAGACTATTGCTCTGTAAAACAGGAATAATACAGTGTTTGTGTACTGCACATTGTTGAGAAGATTAAGAACGTACCTTCCTCTGTACAAGCACAGGAAACAATCAGAAGAAGCTATTAGTAGTAGAAATGGAACAATTAACAAGGAGCTGTGATCTACTTACTGTCATTGTTCCAGAGCCAAACGCATGTCCCGCCCCTTAGCACAGGGCCTGGCAGTGGACTCTAGTGTATAATTCAAATGCTCTGGCATGGCCGAGGCTAGGTAGGAGATCATGTGGGCCAGATGGCCCCTCCGAGAGGCCACAAGTATTCCCCCAAAGCATACGAAGCATATACATATGTTCCCAAAGCTTCTTAGACCTCCAAATTTGTGAAAATTGTAACTTCAAGGGAGGTACTACAAAAAAATCATAAAGTCATGTCAACAAGTCAATGTTAGGCCTTCAGATAGTTTTGCAATTTAGACACAAACAGTAGACTGAATAAGGGCAGCAAGGCAGGCACCACGGACTGTGATTGGAAACACAGGGAAATACTTAGCAGACGTGAAACCAGATGGTCAAAAAGGAAGAAAAAAGGAAGAACCCGAGTCCGAGGCAGGCTGGGTCACTGGGAAAGGGGCTCTGGCATCACTGATTCCTTAGTGTGACCCTGGGACAGGAGCTGAGTAGGGACTGATGGAAACCCCGTCATCCTTCCTACCATGGGCGGGGTGGAGTGTGAGCTTCCCAGGGCCTGTGGGACAAAGGGACAGGATCAGATCACTCACTCCTCTCTCTTTCTCTGGTTTTAGGAAGACTCCATAAGGTCATCAGTAAGTCCTGCTCCTCCTGCACAGCACAAACTTCCCTCTGCCGGCTTTTCTGCTTGTAGATGAGTGCTTCAGTTTTACTTTCTGGGCAGAAGGGAGGGAATAAGCATAATTTAAGCCACAAAATTGGGATTTCTTGGCTCTCAAAGACCTCTTTTCTCAAGTGTTCTCTGCTCCCCTTTCCTGCTCACCTGTTATCTAGTCTCTAAATGGGAAATATGTCTCCGAGAAGAGATGTACTTTCCAAAGCTGAAACAATCGGGGAGTTGCCTTTGTCACCCGGGCATGGCCTTCCCTTAGGTGAGGTCCAAGGCAGGAAGAGCTCCATCAGACTGAATATGCCAGAGTGCTTTTCTACTGTTGCATTTGTGAACACTTTTTTTTTAAACATTAGAAACAAGCTGGGCGTGGTGGCACACGCCTGTAATCTCAGCACTTGGGAGGCTGAGGCAGGAGGATCATTGTGAGTTCAAGACCAGCCTGGGCTACAAA